GAAAACTTCCAGACACACACTTGTAGTCTGGTGGTATTTTACTTGAGATAAAACAAATATCAAACATGAAAATAACAGAAAATTGCAATACAAAGACCTATACCCTGTTGAAAAAAAACAGCATATGCTGGTTAGGTATGTTTTGACGCTGGGATGCTGGTTTAAGCTGGTCCTTTGCTGGTTTACGCTGGTCCTTTGCTGGTTTATGCTGGTCCTTTGCTGGTTTACCAACAAAAAAACAACAAAAGGACCAGCATAAACCAGCAAAGGGCCAGCTTAAACCAGCAAATGACCAGCATAAACCAGCAAAGGGCCAGCTTAAACCAGCAAATGACCAGCATAAACCAGCAAAGGGCCAGCTTAAACCAGCAAATGACCAGCATAAACCAGCAAAGGGCCAGCTTAAACCAGCAAATGACCAGCATAAACCAGCAAAGGGCCAGCTTAAACCAGCAAATGACCAGCATAAACCAGCAAAGGGCCAGCTTAAACCAGCAAATGACCAGCATAAACCAGCAAAGGGCCAGCTTAAACCAGCAAATGACCAGCATAAACCAGCAAAGGGCCAGCTTAAACCAGCAAATGACCAGCATAAACCAGCAAAGGACCAGCGTAAACCAGCAAAGGACCAGCTTAAACCAGCATCCCAGCGTCAAAACATACCTAACCAGCATATGCTGTTTTTTTCAACAGCTAGTTTGGAAATTCAGTTCGCCCTGAAGCACTATCTGATGTCAAAACCATTGTAAGTCAGTCGACTCTAATTTCGATAGAGTTAAACTATTTGTACAAATATTGGTTTATGGGCTTATTCTTTATCTGAGTCATTTTTATTGTTTATTATAATTGTTCCATTTAAGCTTATAGTCTCCCAAAACAACAGATGGGCCAAATTAAAGTTTACTGATTTCAGTGGCGTACAGAATTTCCCGCGCCGTTGTGAAACGCTTGATCAATATAGCAGATAATTTGCAGACAAACATAAAAAAACTAGGCTAGTTTGCTGCAAACGAGTAATTTTAATATAAAGCTTCCATTTTTTTTTATCAGGTGCAGATGAGTTTTATATGTATCCTACCACAATGACAATACATGTTTGTGACACATTTATATGTGTGAACGGTTTTGTGACTGCTGTAAATTAGTGATGTATGGTGATGATCTGTTGTTGCTGTTCCTCCATATATTGTAGTTTTATATAATGCCACTAGAAGGCAGTGCAGACTCATTCATACAAGTTTGTATGTGATGCAAGAATTTCCATTTTAGTTAAATTTTTTCTACACTAATATACAAAGGAAGTTAAGGTAAATTTAGTCCAATTTTAGCAAAAATGGGGTCTCTTAGACTATGATCTGACTTGGAAACTGGAATGTGAAACTGATATCAAATCAAGCTAAATTTAAGCATCCTCACTACACAGGATCTTCACATCGCATCTGTACTTCTAACCTGGACAGGAAAGTTTCAGAATCACCTACTATTCCGGATCCTTCTTTGCCAGAAGAAAAAAAAAAATCCCCGCCTTTTTTAATGTTCTTTAAAAATGACTTTTAGTTTTTCAGTCACCTGGCTGCTGAGAGAGAAGAGAGAGACAGGATCTCTGTGTATCTGGAATAGCATTTGAAATCTGATACAGCAAAGACATTTACTGTTTACAAAGATCCACTGCTACTTTCTCCCATGTTCAGCAAGGTAACTAGTTTGAGATCTGCTTATCTCCATACGTCATTATTGCTTACCTTCTAGCTAGCCGCTTGCTGACACTCCTTTGAGGTTGTAGAATATATAGGAGAGCTCAGCGAAGCATTTTAGTCTTAGGAAAGCCACATCTTGGCTCAGACCAGATCAACAACACCCTCATCAGGAGGTTAGACATGTACTGTTATTATTTTGGGAACATATTTCCCTTGATCAGTGGTTTCCAACCCTGTTCCTGGAGCCCTCATGAACTCTTGCATGAAACTGACCCAGGCATTTGAGTCTGCTTGCTGGGGTGGCAGGGTGCTGAGTGAAGCTTTTTCAGGGGATAGATGTTTCTTTGGTGTCAGCTGTTTAAATGCCTCCTCAATTATCACTTGTGAATCATCTCCTGTATCAATATTAAAGTTAAGTGATTTCTGACCTATTTTGATTAGGGCATTACAATGCTATATAAATGCAATACAAGGACATGTACCAGTAATAAATATGAATAATAATAGCTTATTCGTAGAGAAGAAGAGACAGAACACAAGCACAGCTTTGCAGGAAACATACACTTTAAAAGATGAGTGTAATTTTAACTGTAAAATATTGTAAAAATGCTACGGGAAAAAAAACTGTTAATATGTAAACAGTAAGTTCCCGCACTATATACAGGGAAAAACTGTAAAAGAGCTAACCAGACATTTCATGTAATTTTACAGTAAAATGCTTTTAATTGTACATTTTTTTTAGAAATCAACATATAATTTACAGTCAAAAACTGTAAACTGATATTCCCAGAATTCCCTGTGTGACACTCCACATTTGAAAGTATTTTGTTTAAATAATCATGTGTCTCAATTGTTTTTGTTAAAGGGGTCATATGCTGCGATTTCAATTTTTCCTTTCTCTTTGGAGTGTTACAAGCTCTTGGTGCATAAAGAAGATCTGTAAAGTTGCAAAGACTAAATTCTCAAATCCAAAGAGATATTCTTTATAAAAGTTAAGAGTCAGCCACGCCTACCTAAAACGCCTCGTTCTAACACGG